GTACAAGACTACTAAAACGATGCAATATAGATGTAACAAGTGTCTAAAGGAGTGTGGGAAGAGGTTAAAAAGGAAGCAAGGAAGTAACCACACACCCATGCACTTATATGACCATTTTATGGAGTAAAGATGACATGACGATTGCTTGTAACAGCTTTGTTTTCAATCAGCAGGGGATTCTCTTGCGCTGAGGTCTAAAACTGGCCTTAAATTCAAATTACGATTAGTCATTGTACTACCTTTGTATATTCCTAAAAATACTAAAATAAAATGTTTGTTTGAATGGCTTTAAATCAGTAATTTCCCTTGGAAATTTATAGCCTACTTAAAAAAAAAAAAAACTCAAATGAATATCCACATAATACAGTCCTAAATGTAATGATAAAGATTACTTCAAGTCTTGTTGCTTTTTATTTTGACAGGTTTCCTGAAAACCGGTATTCATGACATGTCAGTTGCATTTAAAGAAGTGAAGATATGATGGTTGGTACCCTCTCACCAAAATAACAATTTAAAGATTTTGTCATTTTTTAACAGAATTGGCACAGAAAATATTCCTAATACCTGACAGACGTAGTCAGATTTGTTTAGCCAATCAGAAGACAGGTCATGTCTGACTCCATGGTTAGGTCTGCTGGAGGTTTCAACAAGGCTAACAATAATTTACAGCGCCTTTAATTGCATTTTACACATTCATTATACTTCTGATTACAACCTTGCCATGGCATAGTACATAATATTTACTTTTGCAAATAATATAATGTATTTATGAGATTATTAACAAAACACTAATGTATGGTAGTAAGTCACCTTCTTCATGTGCAGAATGGAGAAACAAAGATTCATGCCCTCTCAGAGAGTGTAACTTTGGAGGACACAGAAAAAGGAGGGGTCGTCGTCACACGAATCACGAATCCAGCAATTAATCTGAAGGAAGGTAAAGAACTCACATGTATCCTATATGATGCCTCAATCATACAACACGCAAACTTAATGATAATAATGGATTCTGTAACATACCTTGTCCTTATCCTCTCTTTTTGTCTCTTACAGATGATCAGCTTGTTGCTGCAACCATTCATCTGGACCACCTCAGTAAAGATGAAGTGCTAAACCTGATCAGAATCCTCGAGCCCTATGACAAGAACCTTGAACTTAAGACAGCAAAGGATCTGAAAGCAGGACTGGTAAGCAACCTTGTGAATTAAAGAAAGAAAAAAGGAAAAATAGAGACTAAATAGGTCTCACAATGTCTTCGTCTCATCTTTCTCTTTAGTCTCTTGGTGATCTCCGATTAAACAGTAAGGCAGGACTTCAAGCACCAGGCGTTCAGGTTAATGGGCTGAAAGGACAGATAAATGCCCCAAGCCTTAAGGGTGGCATCTCAACCCCAGCAGTAAATGCAGAAATGCCACAGATTGAGCTAAAGGATGCCACACCTAACTTCAGCCACCGAGGGTTCAAACAACCAACTTTTGGCATGTCTGCACCAAATCTCAATGGAGCAGGTCTGGATGGTACATTAGAAGCACCTGATGTCAGTGTCTCTACCCCTACTCTTAACACCCCAGATGTTTCTGTTAATGTGGACAAGCCTGAACTGAAGACCAAAACACCCAAGTTCAAAATGCCCACCTTCAGTCTACAGGCTAAAAAACCAAGGATTGATGGTGATGTGAATTTAACTGCCCCAGACATAAACGCTGACCTAAAAACCCCTGATCTGAATCTGTCAGCCCCAAAGATTAATGGAGAAATTGGCACCCCTGAAGTAGACATGACCTTGCCAAAAACTGAGCTCAGTGGTCCAAACCTGGACATCAAAAAACCAAAAGCTAATATTGAAGCTCCCTCTGGCAAGATTAAATTTCCTAAATTAAAGAAAGCAAAAACTACAAAAGTGAAAGTACCAGAGGCGAGTGTTGATGCAAATCTTTCTGCCCCAAAATTAAATGCAGATGTTAGTGCACCAAATGTTGACATTGATCTGCCAAGAGCCAATCTTGAAGCTCCAGATGTAGACATTAAAACTCCTGATGTCAATATAAATGCTCCCTCTGGCAAGATAAAATGGTTAACATTTAAGAAACCCACATTTGGGCAGAAGGTTAAAGCACCAGAGGTTGGCTTAGATGCCAGTGTCTCAACACCCGATTTAAGTCTCTCAGCACCAAAGATAGATGGGGATATCAGCATCCCAAATGCAGATGTCAATTTACCAAGGGCTGATGTTGATGTAAAAGCACCTGATGTAGACATTAATGCTCCGTCTGCAAAGCACAAGTTCACCACTCTTAAAATGCCAAAGCTAAACTTACATAAATCAAAGCTGAAAACTCCAAATCTTAATGCAGGGGTACAAGCACCAGACTTGGACATGTCAGCTCCTGGGGTAGATATTAATCTGCCAAAAGCTGAATTAGATGGACCGAATCTGAAAGCTCCGAATCTGAAAGCTCCGAATCTCAGTCTTTCAGCACCCAAAGTGGATGGCAAATTTAGTGCTCCAGATGTGGATCTGAACTTGCCAGATGCTAATGTCAAAAGTCCAAATGTAGACCTCGAAGTCCCAGACATTGACATAAATGCTCCTAAAGTAGACATTGATGCCCCCTCTGGCAAAGCCAAGCTACCTCACTTTAAGATGCCTAAATTTGGTCTTTCTGGACCTCGGGTTAAAACCCCAAATCTAGATGCACCTGATGTAGATGTGAACATCCCCACAGCAGAACTCAAAGGACCTAATGTAGATGTTAAAGCACCTAATCTTAGTGTTTCCACACCTAAATTTGAAGGTGACATTTCTGCTCCCTCTTTAGACATTGGTTTGCCTAAAGCCAACTTGAATGCTCCATTTGCAAACACTGGGGGAAATTTAAAGTCACCAAATCTCAAACTCTCCACCCCAGATGTAGACCTAGACTTGCCAAAAGCAGAGCTTGAAGGACCTGATGCTACCCTTAAAGTCCCAGATGTTGACATTAATGCGCCATCTGGAAAAATGAAGTTGCCACATTTCAATTTGCCAAAACTGAATTTGTCTGGGCCAAAAGTTAAAGGGCCTGAGCTGGATGCTAACGCAGATCTAGATCTCTCAGTTCCCAAACTCAAAGGAGAATTAAATGCACCTAGTGTTGACCTAAATCTTCCCAAAGCTGAGATCAGTGCGCCTGATGTAAATGCAACTTTACCAAAAGCTGAGGTCAGCGTTCCCAATGTAGGAACCCCAAACTTAAAGGCTCAGTCTGGAAAGCTGAAACTGATTCCATTTAAGAAACCAAAAGTTGACCTTTCTGGTCCAAAAGTGAAGACACCTGAGATTGACTTAAATACAGAAGCTCCTGATCTCAGCCTCTCAGCTCCAACAGTTGATGCATATGTCAAAGTGCCAGATGCTGATATAAACCTTCCCAAAGCAGATGTTGACATCAGTGCTCCCAAAGGAAAGCTGAAATTCCCAACACTCAAAAAGTCCAACCTATCTGGTCCAAAAGTCAAATCTCCTGATGTTGACATTGCTGCTGATGTAAGTGGACCAGATTTGAACCTATCTGCACCTGAGGTTGGTACTCCTGATATTGATGTGAGTCTACCAAAAGCTGGGCTTGATGTAGATGTTCCCACAGCAGACGTTGACATCAGTGCTCCCAAAGGAAAGCTGAAATTCCCAACCATCAAAAAGTTTAACCTTTCTGGTCCAAAAGTCAAATCTCCTGATGTCGACATTGCTGCTGATGTAAGTAGACCAGATCTGAACTTATCTGCTCCTGGGGTTGGTACTCCTGATGTTGACGTGAGTCTACCAAATGCTGGAGTTGATGTAGATGTTCAAAGCATCAACGCTGAAGTTGAGGGCTCCAAGCATAGGGTAAAATGGCCATTCAAATGGCGAAAATCTACTGAATCAAAGGATGGGGATATAAATATTAAAGCACCAGAAGTAAATGGTACCACTGGAGAACTTAAACTCCCCAAAAATATACCATTGTTCAAGCCTCACCCCCTACCTGACAGCAACATTGACAGTATCTTACAAAAACTCACTGGAATGGTTGACCTCAGTACTGACCCTACAAAAACAACTACTGACGCGGTTGTCTCGGTCTCGTCAGTCAAGACAAATCTTAAAGCTTCTTCTCCATCTGCTGGGGTCAATGGACAGACAGCTACTGTAGATATCCGGGAAAGGCTGAGGTTGTCTAATGCACGTACTACAAGCCCAGATTTCGGCATATCTTCAGAACCAGGCAGCCCTACAAAAGTGAATAGAGGAACATTTAAAGTCACAAAGCCTGATGCTGAAAAGGCCTACCCAGTAATTGACACTAGCAACGAAGATGACGCCAAGATTACTCTCAGCTTGAACAACATGCTTGGTTTGCCAACAGATTAAACTTTAAATAAAACCAGGAGCCTTGTTAGTGTAGTTCCATACCCACTGCATATAGGTAATACATATGTAGAACAATATGTAAAAAAAAATTAAATACACCTCCAACTGTTTACTTTTAAAATGGGTAGAGTATTGACAGAGAAGCATTACAGAATTTGACAGAGATGTAATTATTTTTATATTCAGTTTTATATATATATATATAATTGTATAAAGTTCTCTTTAAATGTGCAATGATTGTATCTTCTGAAAACATGAAGGAAAATATGACGAATCTGTAATTCTGTCTAATTTGTCACTGTTTTATGTAATATTATCTAATATATAGTCTTTTGTTTACACTTATTTCCATTCCAGTTATATATTTTGTATATATATATATATATATACAAAAAATTATTAAGTCCAAATTTTACATCTATAAAATATCACGTGTGTCTTTGTGTGTTACATGAAGCATGTGTACCTATATTTGCAAGGGCACTAATCTCTCAAAATACTTTAATAAAATTTGATATGAACTTTGATAATATGAATAATTCATTTTAACACTCACTCCCGTTTTGATTATCTCAGACCGTTATACTGCATGCCTTAAATTTATTTATTTTTTTAAAGATCCTCAAAGGATAACAGTGTAAAACAGATGCAGTGCAGCAGTAAATCATCTACAATTATTTATTTAGGCTAGTTATTCACCACTGACATTCAAGCGATGCCAATAGTTCATAATGTATTGCTGATGAAAAAAATACTTTGTATTTACACTATAAATGGTAATTATAACAAATATTCAAATACTGTACATATAAAAGTTTTATTTTTAAACAGAGAAACCCTGATGCACACAAACAGGCTTTAATGTTTAGACACAGGAAATAAAAAGCTAGGTAGAGTACATGGCACAACACCAAACACTTTTTAAAAGAATCTTGTTTAGAAGAGGTAATGTTGTCACATTCTACCCTACTACCTGCATTGTAATTTACATTTGACCATAAATTTTGAAACAGTCGCACTCTGCATTTTTTAAACTAATATTTTCAATAGTTAAATTTAAAACGTCTCAGAATGATTAAGCAAGTTCAGTCAACTTTCAGATCAATTGTTCTCTGCAGTTATACTGGTATTTTACCTTTCTAAGGCATGCTAAATTTTTCTTAAAGTCTCAAAACACTAAAAATAAAGAAAAAAAATTAAGTGCCATTCATACCAAACATGATATTAAATTCAAGTGCTCAGTGAGCAGTGCAATGGGAATTTTGATATATACCACAATGTTTTACATGCTCAAATTCAAATTTTGAATTTTTAACTGGCCACTTCACAAACAGACCCCGCCTCTTTTATAGAACATAAGCAGAATGAATTTCAGTGTATAACGTCTGCAAAAGCCGTCTTAAAACTCATTTAGATATTGAGCTCAGTGACTCAACATCATATATGTTACTAATTTAAGGAAACTTCATAAAACTACCAACAGTGGCACACTGCCAGCAGATGACTGTTTGTATTAAAAATAAATTAAATGCTGTATTACTGGAACCACAGAGAATTTCCAGGCAGAATCTAAATGAGTAGTCACACCTGAGCGGCCTTTCCGTTTTCTCCTGAAGTGCTGGCGTGCTGCTGCATATAGCCTATTTGCTATTCACCCTTTTGTCACATAACTAATACAGCTAACCAGTCTGTGACATTTGGACTGATAAAATCAGCCAAAGGTTAACAAAAAAATGTAACTACATCCAGTGTACTACCTTGTAAACACTGTCTTTGTACCACCACTGTTCAGTAATGTGTGTTCTGACCTGCTGTCCATTCCTGCAGTCATGAATTTCAGTTACTACGAACACGTTTCTCCTTTGAGGTCCAGTTATTGTGAAGTCCCAGCTAATGAGCCTGCTGCCAGCGTGAGGGCCAGTCGTTCTCCATCCACCTCTGGAGCAATCGAAGCACATCAATGCGCTGGTAGAGCTGGCAGAGTTCGGTGAGCTCCGTGACAGGTTTCTGGTTGTAGCGCAAGAGGAACTCTTGAGTGGGACTGTGGTAGGTGGGACCGTGTGTGCGCTGCTCTAGAAGCGTGAGCTCATCATAGCTCATTCCCCAGCGGCTTGCAAAGTTCTTCCAGTTTTTGACAGTGCAGTGAGTCGGATCCAGCTTCAGCCTTAGAGTGTACAGAAGGTCTTCGTCGTTCATCAGGTCACTGATTTTGGGTGGAGGGGCGGAACATAAACACTCCTTACAGGGCTTATGTTCTTTACTGAAGTCTAGAGAGTGGGGAAAGAAAAGCAGACATTGCATAAAATCGGGATATCTCAAAAAATGAATGCAAACAGTAACAATAGCACTCCAAAACCCAATTTACAAACGCTTCTTAACCCTCTAAGGGCTGTTCGTCTATGGAACGTATTTTATTTTAAAACACTTATTTTAAACCCTTTCTGTCACCTGATGGACACTTTTAAAATGAAAATGAAATGAAATTACCATTAAAACCAGTAGTACTGAAGTACGAAGTATAGCAAGCGCAGAAAGTCACAAAGTCTTAAGTCATTAAATAAACCCAGACCCCAACAGTCTAGAAGGGTTAATAACTATTAACTATTTTTGACCTAGTTAACTACAAATGAAATAAATTAATTGTTAATGCTATAATAATTAAATAATAATGCATTAAATACCTTCAAATATTTTTGGATTTAACTAAAAAACTAATTTTTTCAACATTTCTTTAAAAAGGACACATGAAAAAGAGTGCTTTACTTTTTTATCTTTAACTAGAAGCTGATAAATGTATTTGGCCAACACAGACTTGTTGCTGTTGTAGGTTTGTTGCTCGGCATTTACACTGCTTCACTTAATGTACAGGTCTATTTTGACATCGGCTTGTCAGATGTTGTGTTCCGTCCGTTTCTACAGTTATCACTGTCAGTCATATCCAGTGCTGCCAACCCTCACGCAGCTGACACTGTTCTCACGCCACATGTCCATTTTCTCACTATGTGCCACTGATGTGATGTCTGCTTGTACGAGTTCTTGTTTTTTATATGTAGAACACAGTCAAGCAACATCAGAAGAGAAAGAAGCAAATGATTAAATTACATATTCGTAAAATCACCAGTCACTTGCTTTGTTCCTGAATGAATCAGTCCTTTTTAACAAATCAAACAATTCAATGACTCAGTCATTAGACAGTGACTTGCCACCACCTACTAGTGGTTTTAGTTTCATACTTAGAAACATAATTCATATAGTGTAATTCTTATGGAGATCTATAAGTAAATATATTTATTATAAAGAAACAGACCACTCCTCTTCTTACTCCATGCTGAACTCAAAAGTTGGCAGCCCTGCTAAGCAATAGCTCGCCTTACAGTTTAGCGGATTCACTCACATCATTTTCTTACATGGACGTTTGTCACTCCTGAAACAGCATATGTGGACGTTTGGTCCTCTTAGCAGCATAAAAAACAAAACTTTTCTTCAAACTGTGAATGGATTATATAGAGAAACCATGCAAAGGGTGCTCACTCACAGTGCAACTGACTGAGCTCATTCACACGAAAACTCTTA